GGGAAGGGCTTAAGAGAAGGGGTGGAGTGATAAAAGGGAGGGCAGATTTGGGGAGGGGGCAGTCAGAAGCAAAGCACTTTTGAGGAGTGGGACAGGGTGAAAGAGAAAGAATAGAATAAACTGGGGGGGATGATGGGGAAATAGGATGGAGGGAAATACAGTTAGCAATAGTAACTATGTAAAGTTTTTTAAAGCAAGTTTCTCTGATAAAGGCCTCATTTCTCGTACGTGTAGAGCACTGAATCAAATTTACAAAAATAAGAGTCATTCCCCAATTAATAAATGATCAAAAGATAGAAACAGTTTTCAGAAGATATAATCAAAACTATGTATAGACACATGAAAAAATGCTCTAACTCACTATTGATTAGAGAAATGCAAATTAAAACAACTCTGAGGTGCCACCTCATACCTCATAGATTGGCTAATAGGACAGAAAAGGAAAACAACAAATGATGGAGGGGATGTGGGAAAAATGAGACATTAATGCACTATTGTTGGAGTTGTGAACTGATTTGAGAACAATTTGGAACTATGTCCAAAGGTCTATAAAAACCCTTTGACCCAGCAATACCACTACTAGGTCTGTATCCCAAAGAGATAAAAAACAAAAAGGCTAAAGACGTATGTACAAAAATATTTATGACAGCTCTTTTCTGGTGGCCAAGAATTGGAAATTGAAAGGATGCCTATTAATTGGGAAATGGCTGAATAAATTGTAGTATGTGATTATGATGGAATGCTCTTGTGCTATAAGAAATGATGAGCAGAATGCTCTCAGAAAAAGCTGGAAGTCTTACATGAGCTGATCCAAAGTGAAATATATTGTGTACAAAGTAACAGCAATGTTGTAAGATGATCAGCTGTGAATGACTTAGCTCTTCTCAGCAATACAATGATCCAAGACAGCTCTGAAGGACTTATGATGAAAAATGCAGTCCATCCACACAAAAAGAATTGATGATTTCTGAATAAAGATTGAAGCATACTTTTTTAAACTTTATTTTTCTTGAGTTTTTTTTTGGGGGGGGCCTATATTTTCTTTTACAACATGACTATTATGGAAGTGTTTTGCATGACTACACATGTATAAACTATATCTAACTGCTTGCCTTCTCAGTGGGGTGGGAAGGGAGAAAGGGAGAGAATTTGGAGATCATAGTTTTAAAGATGAATGCTAAAAATTGTTTTTAAATGTAACTGGGGAAAAATTAAATACTAAATAAGTTCTCTAAAAATATTTCATGTCATAGAGTGAATGTCATTTGTGATTTTGAAATTTTCATTAATCTCATATTAGAAAATAGTTCATATCGTGAAGTGAATGTTCAATATGAATGTATTAGCCATTACAGAAACAATTGGATAAGTCCTTGATACATATGAAGTCACAATTCCATTTAGAGTAATATTTGTAAGACCCATAAAACACTTAAAAATACAAGAGTAAATTGGGTTGGCCCAGTAGGATAGAGTGGATTGCCCTTATGGGAAGCAAAAGCTGAATGACTTTTGGTTGGGGATGTTGTACCTTTTTGGATGGTAGCCTTTTGGGCAATCAGGTGAAGCCAAGCCATGGTATGGGTATCCTGACCACCCAATTCAGGGCTTTTTACCTATACTTTAGTGTCCCAGTAGGAGGGACTTGGCCACCTGTCATACACCCTGACTGTGAGGCCTGGCAGAGAGAAGGTAGAAGAGCTAGAAGGGCACTGGCCCCTGTAGTTGGGTGAATTGTGTTCAAGTCAGGCCCCTGGCCTTGACCTTGGGCAAACCACTTAACTTCCCTGCACCTCAGCTTAGATGCCTCCTCTGTTGAGTGATGGGCTTGTACTTGGTGGATTCCAAGGTCCTTTCCAAGCCCTGAATTCAAGATACCATCACTCCAAACATATATGTTCTGTCATTTGACATGGTTATAAGTGACATACCTAACACCCACCTCAAAGAAAAACATTTTATAGAGTCCTTATGGGCCTGTTTTTTCATGTTGGTATTAATTACCTATCTTAGGTTTTTCCTTAGCTAAAGTAATTTACCCCATAAGATAATGAATTTTTGAAATTTTATATATATATGTGTGTGTGTGTGTGTATATATTATATATATAACATGTATGTCATATATATATGTATATATATTATATATATATACATATATATGTATATGTATGTATGTATATATATATATATATATATATATATATATATATATATATATATATATATATATATATATATATATATATATATTTGTGTTTCATGTGCTAGTCACTGCTCTCCTGTACCGTTAACTATAACCAAAGCAGAAGTTTTTACTTGAAGTGAAAAAGGATAATCCTTTTCACAGTGGTAAGAATCATGTAACATCATGTTTACTTAACCTTAAGACAGTTCCTTAGCTGTCATACTGCACTGAATCTGGCAAATCAGCCATTTCTGGATTAGTTTCTCAGTACCTTGGTTGCTGTGAATAATTTCTGATTTGAGAGGAGATAGTAGAGGTCATCCTCCCACATCTTCTCACTTAATGCTATAATAGTGATTTCAGTACCTTTGGTACCACAGAATCTCTAGGTAGGAAGGGATATCACAGACTCCTGCAAATATTCTGAGACTGAACCTCACTGGCTAGTCTCCCCTCCCCATTATATTATCATTGAAATCCTTGAGATATCTGCCTCACAGTAGAATCTCTTCATTAAAGGATACTGACATTTTAGTTATAACTGCTCAAACAATAACTTTCCCATCTTTGCTTATTTGGCCTTGCAATAAAACCTCAATGATTTGGAACAGTCATATAGTTCACATAACTTACAGTTCTTCTTTTGAGGACTTTATCCATCTCCTTTAAACATTCCAGTACTGGGGAATGGATTCTGACTTATATATTTCTGTTAGTTTTATTTCTTGGACATCAGATCCTTAAGAAATATTTGATTGAAAGGTTTTTCATAGTTGACTGCTTCCTTTTTTTTGTTGTCTTGGTTTATCATTTGTGTGTGTGTGTGTGTGTGTGTAAAAATTTTGGTGAGAATTCAACTCTTAGGTATACCTATGAAAGATACCTCATCTAATTTTACTCTAGGATTTTTTTTCCATCGTATGATCTTTATGTTCAGTAGGAGGCAGCTAGGTGGTACAGTGGATAGTCTGGGTTTGGAATCAGGAAGACCTGACTTTAAATCTGGTCTCAGACATTTACTAACTATATGGCCCTAAACAAAATCACTTAATTGCTACCTGCCTCAGTTTCCTTTTCTGCAAAATGAGGATAACAACAGAACCTGCTTTGAAAAATTGTGAGTGTCAAATGAGATAATAATTGTAAAATACCTACCACAGTACTTAGACATTGTAGGCACTATAATGTAAGTGGGGATAATCATACTCCAAAATGTGTTGTACAAATAAAGCAGAAGCCATAGGGACTGTGGTGGAAGTTCAAGCAGGTGAGCTGTCCCTACAGGAGGAAAGTTGTCAATTTAAATGGTGAAATTAAGTCGCACCTTTTATTTAAATATAATTGGCTCCCTTAGTAAAGCTGTATATTTTGTTTTATGCATTTAGAAATATTATTCTGAGAAAGGGTCTATGGGCTTCACCAGACTGGGCCAGAGAGGTCCAGGACACAAAAAAAGGAAAGAACTCCTGCCTGCCCTGTGGTACATTTGACTTCCTGGTCCTGGTAGAAGGTTTCTCTGGAACCTTGTTTATGGGAGAAGTTCTCTCACCCTTTGTGTTACTGAGCCTGCCTCATTAAAGTTGAGCTTTTAGAATTGGATTGGAAAAATCCAACTTGATTTTTTTCAAGGCCTTTCAAAGTTTATGAGTATGATTATTTTTTGTAATTGTGAAATGATAAAAGGAAGCTATATTTGTTTGGAATGGAGCCGTAGACTCTGAGCCAATGACATTTTTATCTACCTTATAAAGAATAGAAAAACACTCGCCACTATTTGCCTGTTTTCCTGAAGAAAAAAATCATGTCCTTCAATGGATTAGTAAGATTTTTTATTAGGATCATAATTTAAGTAGTAAGTCTATGAAAGTGTGTGTATCTTTTCAATGTGACTCGTTTGAACTTGCAAGACATTTTGTAAAGTTTGACTCAGTGAGACCCATCAGTAGACAGACTTGAGCCTGGAAATTTAGTTCATTGGAAAACATGGGAAATATAGGTCTAATTCCTTTATTCAAACTCAGTAAATGGTTTGGGACAATTAATTTCCAATTGTTTCCCAGTAGAGCAGATTTACTTGTATATTAATGAGGCACAGGTGTTAGGCCCCTGGTGCCTGCATGCCTGGGAGGCATATTTAGGTTGTTTATCTAGTCAGCCATAGGTACTGCAAGGTACTCAAGCTTGCCTTTAACAGTTTATACAGTGAGGCTTTTTAATTTTTTGATGTTTTTTTAAATTTGCTAGCACCTGTTAAAATTTTAAAACTGATCATGTAGAAAGAAGTAGAAGAGATTTCAATAGCAAAGAGCACTAAAAGTTAAAGAAAGTAGTCTTCTATTCTGGTTAACTGCCCATCCTGACATTAAGGGAAAGAAAGGTTCATTTAAGCTGATATGTCATGTGAAAAACCCATACAGTCAACGGTATACTTTTTGCTGCATATTTCTGGAGCTGGCATATCTTTGTCTATGGCTAAAGCAGTAATATGTTTATATTAATATTCATTTTTCTTGTTTATTCACTGAACTGCAGTACCAACATTTTAGAGGAGATGGAATAGCCTCCATAGACATTATGAATTTCAGTAGCTGGCATAATTATAGCGATCTACATATTCATTAAATCCAGGAAAGAAATGTGTCCAAAAAGACAGCCATGCGTTCAGAAACATTACGCAACTAAATACGTGCCTTTTTAAAGTTTTGTGCTTTCTCCTTGTCAAAAAGTACTTGGTTTTCTCTGAACCAACACCCTTTCTAAAAGCTGTTAAGGTTTTTAAAAATTATTCCTCTGCCCTATTTTCTTTCATGTAGTAAAGAATGGGAAGAACTATTTGTAAACAACAATTACTTGGCAACTATACGGCTGAAGGGGATTAATGGGCAGCTGAGAAGCAGCAGGTTCCGCAGTGTTTGCTGGAAGGTAAGAAGAAAATATTTATTTACAGTTTGTGGTTGCAGTAGATCAACACATTACCTGATGCCCTGGGAAGATTACTCATGCAAAGAATCACCAAATTTTCCAAGAGACTTCCTCCCCAATTTTTGCCATCCATTTTGTCTTTCATAGGACATTTGCTAATAAGATTGAGAGCACCCTAGTCTTCAGTAGCTGGCAATGGGGAAGGCTTATTCAAAATGAACATCTTTACTTGGGTTAGCATCTCATTTGATGGTGAAAATTATACCCTGACTGACACCTCTGCATTACCTACCACTTTTTGCAGGAAAACTCTTACTTCCCCAAGTTGTGTATAAATCTTTGACTTATATGTATCTATGTATGTATATAGACACACACCTCTGTTTGATTAATCTCAAACTTCAAGGCAAGTGCCATTTTTTTTTAATTCTGTCTGATTTTCCTCATAAACACTAGCTGGGAAAGACTTCCAGTTTGAATGACCAGAAGCACCGAGTCTTCTTTAGAGGAAAAGGACCATTGGTTACCATTTTTGTAGTGATAATCTGTAAACTTTTTTTGTCCTTGCCTTTAAAATACTGTTCTTTTTTTCTTCTTCCAGAGGGAGCTGGTGTGATAACTGATTTCAAAAATGGTTTCTAGCTCTAGTTTTAAAGCTTTTATCTGTATACATTAAGCATATCAAGTAAACTGAAAGTATAGACTGGGAGAATCACAAGATACATTATCAGTTTGAGATTTAATAATTTATATTTAATAATTTAAATACATTTTTCTTCTATTTGATGGAAGTATTAAAGAGAGAGCTGCTGCCACAGTGCTGGAGCCCATTTGGGCCCATCCCTCTTTCCTATTGTTTAACTTTTGGTAAAATCGTTCACTTGCTAAAAACAAACACAAAGCCAGATTTATCTTTATGTTAGGTTAAAATAAATCAAATTTGTCTTTTTTTTTGAATACTTGCTCTTTTTCATAATTGATTATTGGTTATAAATTACATTTTTTGCTAAAGACGGAAAGATGTGTTTTTAACAATTAGCTGCTCTCTGCCCTGGATTTTCTCTTTATCAGTTGCCTATATGTTTCAAGAGAATAAAAACCATAACCAACACTTTGACCATTTTAGCTACTTCTTTTTTCTTTTCCAAGTAAACACAGAATGTGGTTGAACCTCAATACCATTTTCTTTTGGCTTGGACAAATCTGATTCGTTATATATCTTTTTCTTAACATGAGTCTTGAGGACATGGCCCCATTTAATGATCTGACTTTTTTGTTTATTTCATAACCTTCATTCATGTTATTTAAGTTTTTCATTTGTTATATTAATGTCTTTAAATATAGATTGGTAGTAATTTTAAATAAATTATTTAATTACAGTAAGAGTACTGTAATGCTTTGGTGATTTTTTTTACATCGTTTCATGTTCTTTTTTTCCTTATGAGTAACAACTTTATTTCTTCTTCACAACAGCTTTTTCTGAATGTTATTCCTCAAGATAAAGGCCAGTGGACAAGCCAAACTAAGGAACTGAGAGCCTGGTACAATAGCATCAAAGAAAGAGTAAGTAACATTTTATTTTAATAAACGTTCCTCAAATAAGTGCCAAGCTCTAGTTACAATTTCTGTTTTATTTCCCCCCCTCAGCATATTACGAACCCTCGGAAAGCTGCAGGACAGCAAGATTTGATGATCAATAATCCTCTCTCACAGGATGAAGGGGTAAAAATTGTCTTTTCGTCATTTTTTTTTCATAGGCAACTTCATTGACTTAATAAATATGTTTAAAATGCAAACTGTTAATACTGGTTTTTAGTTTGAAGCTCTTTATTTCCATACCAACTGTACCTGAGGCCCACCTCCTACAAATACTTAAAAGTATCTTAAGGCATCTCACCTAGTAATCAGTCACCTACAACATTCTGGTAAACGGGGAGGAAGAAACCCTGATGTGATAGAGAAAGCCCAGGGAGCAAAGTGGGCAGGAAAGGGAAGAGGGAGGAAAGAAGCTGGTCCAGTTAGGGAGAACGATGGGCTTTTTGCCTTTGGCCCCTCTGTACCTTCTTCCTGAGCTATGGCAGTGAACTTCTTATCTGGTCTATGTAAATAGCGTCACAGGGAAGAAGGTGCTACAGGTCCTCTAACTCATGAGTTCTTTCCTGATGGCCTCCAAAGATGTGTCATTAGATTGATGTCAGGGTGTCTGTGAACCTGTGGCAGGGGGTGAGGTGGGGGGAATGCATCTTTATTTTCAATAACCTCTAACTGAAATTTTGCATATCCTTCAGTTATTCATTTTTTTTAATGTTATTCTGGGATGGGGCTTCACCATAGGCTTCACCAGACGCTAAAGGGGTCTGTGACAGAAAAAAAGTGAAGCATCCCTGCCTGCTCTGAATATATTCTGAGAGGTAGCTTTGGCTTAGATAGCCAAAGAATTTGGTAGATATTTCCATCTTTTGTTGCAATACAGCATTCTTTCAAACTGCAAACTTTGCATTGACCTAGTGCTAATCAACCCATGGCACCTCCTCCCCATTCCTGCTTCCATATCAGGAGACTATGGAACTGTTCTCAAACTAGGGGTGCTCAGAGTGAGCAGCTCAAATGAGTTTTAAGGGGACAAACCAGAGGATTTTTTCTCTTTCTAGATAATGAATAGAAAGATATTTGTTATTTCTTGCAAAATCTTACCTGTAGTTATTATGCCCTCATATCAAGTTAGATTTGAATCTGAAGTGTTCTCCTGTGAGTCCCATTTACTCCCTTCACTTGCTCCTTAGCAATCCTAGCCTTTAGCAGTGACTAATAGTAGTTGGATGCCTTTCTTTTATGACTTCTCTGCTACTTACTAAGTTACTAAAGAACCTTGTTTTTACTATAAGAATTAGAGTATAAAATTATTGTAACTTTATGACTTCTCTGCTACTTACTAAGTTACTAAAGAACCTTGTTTTTACTATAAGAATTAGAGTATAAAATTATTGTAACTTTGCCAAAGTCTTTATGAAAATGAGCAAACAGTTGCTAATATATTCAGTGTGTATTTCATACTATATGATATTCAAAGCTTTAATTATTTCTTCATTATTTTGTTAGTAGGTCAATAAACATTTATTAAGCACCTTCTGTGTGCCAGATATTGTGCTAAGCACTACAATGCTGGAAATTATTTAATGATAAATATTTTTCACAATCAAAATTTTCAGTAAGAATCCATCAAATTACTAAGTCAAACTTTCAGTGAAAAAGTATCACGTTGAAATTGTTAGATGGGAGAGCATCCCAAAAAGTGCCTCATGGAGAATGCCAATCTTTACTCTTTGGGGCTGTCTTGATACCCAAGTTAGGCTTCTGCTCAAATTTCTTCCTACCCCAAATATTATGCCTACTCCAAGTATTTGTTGCCTAGGTTCAAAGACTACTTTCAGGCCTCCAACAAACTCCCCAGGCCAAGGATTCTAATTGGCTGTGGAGATGCCAACAAGTAGAGAGTAAAAGTTTTCCCTAGAATTGCTGAAGTAGACAATGGAATTAAAATGCTTCCTTTTTTCGCAATATATCATGATTGTACCATGTTTTCAGTATACAATCCAAACTGTCCTAATATTTCTCAAAATTGAGACAGCTGCTTTAATGAACGGGAAGAAGGAACCACTGGCATAATTAAGACTTGTGAGCAAGCAGATAACCAGAGGGCACCCAGTTTGTCATACTGAAGCTTTAGACAGAGCCAAGAGACATTCTTAACTAATTGATGAAACTCCTTTAAATGCTCAGCTATTATTTCTTATAGATTATACTTCTTATAGATTATTCTTATAAAAAAGCCACCTTTTTATACATTTCACTACTATGAATTGGTGACAAATCAAGCTTTTTGAAGACTATACAATAATGGCAGAAGGAAAGAGATTGTGTTAGAATAAGTATGCACTTAAGAGACTGAAGTAGACAAGAAATTTATGATGAGTCACAAGTTCTCCATTTTCAAAGTAAAAAGGCTTAATGGAAAGATGATATAATTAATTTAACATTTATAAAAGTTATTTGGAATTGTTTTTTGAAGTGGACACCAAATGAATACTGATTTTTCAAGTGGTGCATTTTTCTTCATTTCAGAGTCTTTGGAACAAATTTTTCCAGGATAAAGAGCTTCGAGCGATGATTGAACAGGATGTCAAAAGAACGTATGTATAAGAACCACTCAAACAATTCTTTTAAAAATTCATATTCATATTATTTCTAAAATTCTATAGTTTTTGTTATTTGCGTTCTAACTTCTACATAATAAAAAGACCAGAGTAAAGAGAAACTCATATATGATTTGAAATGTGTTAAATTGAAGCAATATCTTACTCTTGTTAGTATTATTAATTCTGTAGTAAAGAATTGGTATGGTTCACTAAAAATACATATTTTTTAAAAATGTGAAGCAGATGGTCTTTTATGACAGATTTCTTCTGATTAAACTGTTTTATTTATAATAATTTTAAAATATATTAAAATTTAGGAAGTTATAGAGTTTAATTTAACATAATTGTAGAGCTAAGCATTCCCTTTTCACATTAATGTTATATAATCTGTTATGTTGTCATTATGCTTTTTGGACTCTTATCAACATCTCTAACAGATGTGGTGCTCTGTGAACCCAGTATCCATGCCCTTTAAAGCTATAAAAAGAGCACACTCCATCCTACTGCATCTACATTTCTGCTTAGCCTTCTTAGCCTTCTTGGCCTCTCATGCAATTAGGCACAGACTTTTGCAATTCTGGCTGCTCTCTAGTCACCTGTCTATTTAGGGATAGATATCTGGGACTCTGTACAACTACCTACAACATAGTGCTAATACAATAATATTTTAAAATGATAAAAGATATCAGTAGCATGTCTAGAGTTACAGAGTATTTGTGGCCTATCAAAGAGAAAGAAAGAAAGAGTCATGAGCTTAAACTTATTTTGTGCTTTACAAACAACATGTCCTCTGATTGACAATATGCCCTTTGAAGGGGAGAAGAGCAGAGATGGTTAATTCTGTTTATAGCTCAGGATGAAATGGCTTGCCCCTGTTCAGACATCTCAGAAATAACAGAACAGAGCTCAATTTACACCTTATGATTCCAAATCTTTCCTTCCATCTCCCCTCCTGGAGTTGTCTCTCTGAAACAGAGAAAAGGACTAGTTCTGCCAAGGGAACAGAACCCTAGAAGGAATACCAGTGGCCTGGTGATGTGGAGGTGAAACCTTGGATTCCACTCCCTCCACTCTTTTGTCCTCCTAATTGATTTTTATGTTCAGTCGCTGATACTCTTTCCCTAGCATCAGTCTTCCGTTGGTCACTTTCCCAGCATGTTGATGTTGTTCCCACAAGTTTTGGTCACACCTCCCATCCCAGCAGAGGCTTTGTCTTCAGCTCCACCTCCTCTCCCCCAGTCAATAGGTTTTAGGTACTTATAACCAAATGGTACTTGTACCACCACTTTCCACAGGAAGCTTTTCCTGTCCTTCCAACTACCAGTCCTTGCCTCCTAAGCTAACTTATGGTTAATTATGTTGGGTTTATTTCTCTTTATTCTCTTTTTGTTTGTTCAGTATATACTTACATGTGTACTGACCGACTGTCTCTGCCATTAGGATGTAAGCCCTTTGAGAGTAGCAACAGTTTCGTTCTTTGTACTTTTATCCTCAGCCTCTAGCATGCTCCTACCAGATACATGTCTCATGTTCTTCTTGGGTTATGTTGTCTTTCATGGTTTCTAGAGTTTATTGGTGTTCCAGGTGCTCTAAGATTCTGAATGTCAGTTACTGTGGGATTTTCTATCTGCATACACCCTGTAGGTTGTTATCTGTCTTTTTGTTCACAAGAAATTTCTGTTCACTGATACTTAACATTTCTTAAGTACTCACTAAATACCAAACCCTGGCCATGCAAAGAAAACTAAGAAGAAGAAGAAAAGACAAAATAAAATCCAGTCTGTGCTCTCTAAGAGCTCATAGTCTAATGGGAAAGGCACAACGTGCCAGGGAGGCCAGCAGGTGAAGATGAGGAAGGACTTATTGGATCTCAGTTTCTTCATTTGTAAAGTAGAGGGTTTTGGAGTAGATGATCTTTGAGGTCACTTCCTGACCTAAAAGTCTGATTCTAAGTTTGCTGAGAGAAGAATGAACAGGACTAGTTTGGAGGGGTTTTTTGGTTTTTGTTTTTTTGTTCTTTTGGGGGTTTGATATGCTTGAAGAACTTCAGATAAAATCCATCTCCCTCTCAAATATTACACTTAAAAATAAATTATTAATTATAGCATTGGAAACTTAATTGGGCTTGTATCTATTAAAAATGTTTTTTCTCTCAGCTTTTTTAAACCATTCTTTATGAGATGTACATTCACATTGGAATAACCTTGAACCTTGACCTATTTCTTCATACCATAATTGTGCCCTTTGGTGTGTTATATTTAGCATGCATTTCCCATCTTTCTTACTACAATTTGGCCTCAGATATTTACTAGCTGTGTGCCCCTGACCAAGTGACTTCAACTCTGTTTGCCTTAGTTTCCACAACTGTAAAATAGAGTTAATAACAGCATCTACTTCACAGGACTGTTGTGAGGTTCAAGTGAGTTAATATTTGTAAAGCACTTAGCATGGTGCCTGGCACATAGTAAGTGCTTAATAAATGCTTATTTTCTTCCATCTCCTCTTCCCTTCCCTTCAATGGTTCCTTTAGCCTAGTTCTTACCTTGTTCTTATACCATTATCTTTTTCAAACATTTAAAAGAACTAATGGGAATTTGTTTACTATTGCAGTGAAGAATGAATTCCCTGAAGTAGTACATAGAGGTATTTTAATTTACATTATTTGAAGTAATTATGTAAAATACCGTCATTGTTTCTAGCCCAATAGAAATATGCTGTGTGGATTCAATATTTGCACTAACCTGGACCCACCTCTCCTTGTTTTCCAAGTAACTTAAAGTATTGTTGCTTTATATAAATAATAAAATTTCATCTTGTTGATCCTCCTCCTTGTTCCACGTAAGAAGGTGAGAAAATTAGTTTTGAGACTGTGGTGTGCATTATCAGGGAAGACTTTAATGTTGCGACACAGAAGCTGCCCTTTTAATTCAGTAGGACTATCCAGAAGTCTGTGATTCCTTGCCTCACTAAATTATATTCCTTTATTCAAACCCAATTTTCTTAGAGAAGCAGTTACTATGGAGCGATGCAGATAGTGGTTTTAGATGATGTATTTGTAGGAGTGTTTGTCAACATATAGTTCTCTAAAAACATGTCCTTACGGACCTATGCCACAAACTCACCAGTAATTCCCATGACATAGGGGAGAAGCTAGAAATTTCCAGAATTAATTCCAGAAAAGCAGAACCAACATACCCCTCAAACCCACCTTCTTTTGGTTCTGCCCAATGCAGGATCAGTATAAATATTGGTTTTGGACAAGAAGAAGAGCTTTTTATGTACTTAAATAAAAACCGACTAGGCTTTTAACAAAGAAAATATCTAACTTCTCTGCAGTTCTTACAGGCCCAGGCAGTTCAGTTCCTCTATAGGAACTCATTGATGGGGACATCTCCTGGACACCTCATCCTGGCAGTTTTTGTCCATGTTCTCTCACAGGTTCTATACTGAGTATCTCTGCAGGCTTTTCTCTTGAACTTATTACCTTTCCCCGGTCCCTGTGCAGCACTGGAGCTGCCATCTTTGATTTACCCTTTACTCCCACGTCATGACTGAACCACCTCTTTTTTTGTTGTTGTTGTTTTGTTTTTTTGGCTAGGCAGCGGGGTTAAGTGACTTGCCCAGGGTCACACAGCTAGCAAGTGTAATGTGTCTGAGGTCAAATTTGAACTCAGGTCCTTCTGAATTCAGCCGGTGCTCTATCCACTGCACCACCTAGCTTCCCCAGACCCACCTCTTTTCTGATCATACATTTCATCCATTATTTCTCTTGTGTCACTGTTGCACATAGGGCATCATTGGAAATATGCTGCAGCTTATGTGCACCAACTAGATCTTTCTATTGCTTTTTGTACTGCCACAGCTTTGATTCTTAGATATCCAAGATTCATAACCCTACCGAGTCACTAAGAGAACTCTTGTGTTTGCTTGTTTTAAGATGAGTGGTTAGTATTTAGAACTGGGTTGGAATAGTTGAAAGCACTTTGCCATTTACTAACTGCAACCCAGTCCACCCATCCTCCTGTTCAGCTGTTTGCCCAATTCATTGTGTATCTGTAATGGTTGTTCCTTACCTTTTACTTTTCTGTAAAAGAGTGAGGTCATTCCCCTGTGAACTTCCTCTTTTCTTCTTCTCTTCATTTGAAAACCCCCTCAGTTCACCCGTCTTCTCTCGTTCTTTATCTCAGTATCTAATAAAAAGGTGGTGCCTCCCCAGAGTCAGGAAGACCAGCTCATTGATAAAAATATTGAGAAGCACAGATACCTGGGTTATTCCACCAGAGATCTGCCAATTTGACATTGAACCCTAACAGTTATTCTTGGCATACAGCAGCTTTGCCAGCTGTGAATGCTTTTGAATTGTATTGTCCTCTAGTCCTCATCTCTGCATTTTCTCCACAAGAATATTATGTGCCACCTTACAAAAACTTGATTAAAATCTACATAAGCTACATTCTCAGCATTCCTGTCATCTACTACTTTAGTAATTTCTTCAAAAAAAGGAAATAAGGTGAGTCTGCCATGACCTATTCTGGATGAAACCATGCTGGTTGGGTGGAATTGCAGCCTCCCTATCTAGATATAGGCCAACCAGCTCTTTCATGAGCCAGTCCAGAGGTTTCCTGGGAAGTGAAGTCATCATGCTCATTGGCCTGTAGTTTTTAGGCTCTGGTTTTTTCTCTCTTGAAAATCAGGAGTTTTCCCTTCTCCATCCTCCAGGTGCCTCTCCCCTAGTCTGTAATGTTTCACGCATCATTGTCAGTATCTCAGCAGCCAGAGCTGCCAGCTCTTGCAGGACACGAGGATCTGGTTTTGACCAGGTCATCAGAACTCACTGAGAGCAGCTTCACTCCTTTCTCTGATCTTGAATATTCATTCCCTGTTAGTCACTTTTATTCTCTAATTTCCAGTATAAAACCTTGTTTCTTTATGGAGAAAATAGAAACAAAACAAGAATTTAGCATCCCTGCCTTTCCAAGATCCCTGGCAGGTAA